TTTATATTTTTACCTAGAGTTCAGCTTTAAACCAGATTTCAATGAAGAACAGCCACGATTACTCTGGAGACTGTTATTTTTTATGTTTTCCTTTTTTTTTATAAGTGTCCATAAAAATAAGAATTTTCCCTGACATATCTGGCAAGCGAGGCAGGGAGGCAAACTGCAAAGAAACAATGCTGTTGGTTTTCATTTGTGTGTGTGTGAGTTGTCTTTGATCCCTGCATCACGTCCTCTTTAGAATACTATACTTGGGTTCAAACCATCCTTTAATATATGAAATTAAACAACCACCAACAGTGTTATGTGAATAAATGTATGTGCAAGATTTCCTTAACTGAATTCATAACATGAAAATGATGAAATTCAAACAGTACCAACCAATACTCTTCCAATAGCCGTTTCTGCAACCAGATTTAAAAGTGGACCAAGGATTTTTTTGAGTAACAATGTTTGTTATAGTACACTTTTCATATATCAACCCCAGAATGTCTAAGGGCCACATTCAAAGTACAGGCGGCATGAATAGTTTCAAACTCAACTGTCACCTGACTTTATTCTGTAGCACTGAGAACCATATTACACTGGTGTTTCTGCTGTTGATGACACCTGCCCAATGAACACCCCATTATAAACTAGATCAGTAACTTTGATGTTAGTGAACAGAAGCAGTAATATTTGGAAGTAGTACCCATAAAGTGGAATAAAACCAATTGCAGATCCAAATGATACTGTACGTACAAATTATAACATTAAAGTTGAACTGCAGGCAAGGAACTTAAAAGAGAACTATGGGGTAAGTGTTTTTCCCCCTAGTTCTCTTTAGGGCCACGGGAGGACATAAACTAGAGTCCTCCCATGACCCAAAGCTTAGTATATGGCGAGCTATAGCTCGCGGTATACTGAGACTGCCGCAGCCGGGACGGATCCCGACATTAGTGTCGAGATCCACACAGTTGCGTTAGTGACAGCTGGCTCTGCCTATCTAGAGGCAGAGCCAGCTGTACCCCCAGTCAGCGCTGGAGGATCGGAGCGGAGAGAGGGGGAATCCTTGCAGGGAACTGTGACTGACAGCCACGGCCCTCTGCAGGGACATGATCGAGAAGTGAGCGAGCGACGGTATGTGTTCGCTCACTTCCTAATCTATTGAGCCAACGTGTGACAGTTTCATTGTCACACGTCGGCTCGAACTATGAGGTTGAGTGATTTTCTCTCACCTCCTAGTTCTCTTTTAATACAATGTTTAAATCCATATATAGAAATTGTTTTACCTGCAAAAGATTTGTCATTCTGTGTAGCCTTGTGATTCACTCTCTCCTGCCAGGCAGCTCAGCCAGATCCTAAACCTCCATACAGTAACACAACTTGATCACAATCACACCCCAGCCTACTGACTATATAATAAAGCAGGATCACGCTGCTCACTTACAGTTATTAAGAACCAATAAAAGAGTATGGATTAACAATGAGCATGGATTCATAATTCTGTATAGGGACAGTTTATTCTCACATGCAGTTTTCCTTATGCAAGACACAACTTGAACCTATGGACCAGAAAATAATTTTTAAGTTCTGGGACACTATTCAGCAGGTTCTTATGTAAATAATGGGCACATTAATGTTTGAAGCAGTAGAGATCCCAGACATTGCATTGGAGAGCTGCTAATGACCCAAAGGGTATTCTGGGATGTTGATGATTGACTATGAGGAGTGGATCAGTGATGTGGATGGTGAATAGAAAACAACAGTATATGCTGGGCCGCGGGGCGTACAGTGGGATTTAACCAAGGAACCTATGAGAGTGGTGTATATCATGAAACAATAATGGGCAAAGTGACTTTTGGATTGTTGGACATACATCATGTTGCGGTAGGGAGTAGGGAGGAGGACGGAGTTTAACTTCAGAAGCTGATGGAGACGTCGTCCTGCGTGCTCCTGCCAGCTCCCACCCGCAAGACGCGGCCAGCACAGTACTGGAGTGGCAGCCTGGAGAGCCTTGTGGAAAGCAGGTGAGAGCCCTGGTTTAACAGGGCTCTGTGGGGTCTCACCAGGGCTCTGTGGGGTCTAACAAGGCTGGTTAGAGCCCTGGTGAGACCCCACAGAAGCCTGCTACCCTGGGGAGACCCCCTGGTGAAACTCTACTGAGAACTGTTTTAACCAAGACTCTGCAGGGTCTCACCAGGGCTATGAGGGGTCTAACCAGGTTGGTGAGACCCCACATAGCCCTGGTGAGACCCCAAGGAGCCCTGGTCAGACCCTACAGAGCCTTGGTTTAACCAGGACTCTGCGGGGTCTGACCAGGGCTCTGAGGGGTCTCACCAGGACCCTGAGGGTCTAACAACAGTGTACTGCAATATTGATCTATTGCTTTCTGATAACAGTAGGAAATTGATTAATGGATCTGTTGCTGCAGAGGTGCATTTATGCAGAATATTTCCATCTGTCGTACAACGGGTTTAATTTAGGGTTACATAATACATAGGGATATAGGTATAGTATAGGGATACACAAAAATACATACTAAAAGGAACGAATAAGCAAATGTAACAAAAGGGGCAAATTTGAATTATCATGGATTAAAGGGGATGCTTACATATACCTTGACTTGTGATGACATGTCCTGGCACCAGGTAGTTATTAGTAGGAGGGTTTCAGCAACAAAAACAAGTGTAAAAATAAAGTGACCAAATCCTCACACAAGACGATCCCTCAACCAAGCCTTATAACTTTGCCTGACTTAACAAGCATAAGAATAAAGTGACCCCCATGCACCCGCCGAAAGCCTTATAACTTTGTCTGACTAAATTTACCATTAACTTCAGCCCTAGTCTAGATTTCTTGCCTTGGAAATGGCCCTGGATTCCAGCACAAACATCACATCTTGTTTTCTATTGTAGATTCAATTATTATGATCCTTAATTATTATTTGAGGAGCATTACTTCAAATATAATAAACAAATCTCATTATATAAAGCTTTTGGGTGATCTGAGACAGCATTGTACACAATGGTAATTTTTCACTAGCTCAGTTACAATGTCCATGTAAATTTTATAGGGCTGGAAGTTATTTCTTAGGATCTGCTGTTTCCTATTACTCAAAACTACTATGTCACAGGAGGGGGCAGTAAGGTTTTGGAAAGGCAGGATGTTCATGAAAACACATTTCAAAAGCAAAAACTTTCTTCCTGTTTCCTGACCTGTTGTTTTGCCAGGAGCTAAATATATATCGGTGATTGTATTAGAGACATTTCCCTGGCCTTTTCTTTTAATGCTAACCCTGAGTTATTTGGCCTGATAACTCATCTTCCTCAGCCCTTTTCTAATGTGATTAAAAACACATCTTTATTCAATAACGTTGACAATAGCCTGACTGAGGCTTTGCCTGGCCTACTAGGCCTCAGCTACCAAGCTTTCATAAGATGATAATGTCATGGCTGTCACTTGTAATTACTTTAGCACTCTGTTCCCTTCACCCTTAGTCTTGTCTCCCCTATACAAGAATTCTTGTTCCTTCGGGGAGATTTCTAGCCATTTACTTGCTACATAATGAAGCAGACATTTTTGCCAGGAGACTGACTTAAAGTGGGAAATGAAAAATGTCTGTCAGTACAATTTAAATTGGCTTTAAACATTATTAATGTTGTACACCATTCAACACACAAAATGCAATTAGCATATTGCATGTAACTAACATAAAACTATGGTTATGGGTTCACAAAATTATGCGTAAACAGACATTTCATTCTTGGACTGCTGTGGATTAATTTACTGATTGGTTGCTGGGATTAATTTACATCACTGCTGTTTTCCTCATATAAGTCAATACTATTGTATCTGTCTCCAATTCAGCAAGAAAAAAGCAAATGAGCCATGACACCAAACGTTAATATATGCTGCTTCTGAGTGTGCGGATGTACCTTATTTCGGTATACATTTTAAAACAGGATAAACTGTATACCCGTTCCCTGCCAAATTCAAACTTTTCCATTTTGTTGAAAAAAAATATAGTGCTGTTGTAATCACGAAATACCTCTATTTTGATAGTTTTGTCTGACCTTAGGTCTGGCTCAGATCCCAATGGCTATGAATCAGGGTGGGATATGCGTAGCCAGTATCTAATGCTACTGCAAAGAGATCCTGCACTGCTCCGTGGCTGAATGCTGGAAGAAGACTGGAGTTGGGAGTCCAGAGCCCTTTTCCAGTAAGTACTATGGGGCTAATTTAGGCATATTAACCACTAAAGGATTTTGAACATAATAAATACGTTCTAAACTTCTACAATGACTTTAGGATACATCTCTTACGTCCAGCTCTTCTCCCCCATGCCACCTCTTACCTTACCGCTATCACAGGCAATTAGCAGCTGTCAAAAAGATAGCCAGTAATTGCTTTTGTATTACACAGCAGAAGCGCCTGTCAAAATGCAACCATTCCTATATGTAAAATGACACGTGCAGATAGGGGAGACAGAGCTAATAATGAAAAAAAAATTGGAGCACTACTTTAAAATTATATCTCCAGCAAGTTCAAGTAAGTTTTTTTTTTTGTTACCATATGTGTTCCATTCAAGAAATTTCCTTTCACCTCCTGTCCTGTAGACAGAACAGGAAACCAGAAGAAATGTATCCAAAGTGAGGTAAATCCCTTTTTAGACAGTGCGGAAAAAGTGCCCCCATTTGTCGGTCTGCTTTATTCCTGTTTTTGTGACAATGCTACAATTTTGTACTTGTCTTCACTTTTAGTCCCAGTGACAGTTTTCCTGCAGCAAATATAGAGAGTGCATCTCCCTGGAGACAGACAGACAGCAAAGAAAACCTGACAAGGGTTTTAATTCTTCCTACTCTATACAAAACTAAGAGAAAAAGGTTTAGTCTTTAGATACACTTTAACACATTAAAAATGATTTACATTATGTTGATCACATTCACATGAATATCTAAATTATAAATGTAGGAATAACTATAGTTCACCTTTCCATAATGTAATAATAACTATCTTACCTGTCACAGTGGTTGCATTTAAATGGCTTTGCCCCTGTGTGTTTTCTGTAGTGCCTCGTAAGCTCATCACTCCGAGCAAAACGCCAGTCGCACCCTTCCCAAGAGCATTTATATGGCTTCTCACCTGCAAAGGAATCCAAAGAAATTGTGAGAAATACAATCTTATCATATACATCTACATCTAATTCTGCTTTGCAATAGACAAGCAACATCAACAGACAACCCAGTTCAAACTCTAATTTTTTACTTTTCAGCCCTGATGAAGGGGGCTCCTTGTAGCCCTCAAATACAAACAAAACTTTCTGGACTTTTAACAGTGGAGTGCTGCTTTCTTCCCAATGGTCTCCCAGCAAAAAAAACTTCACAGGGTTTAGTTTGCCTTTCCCTTCTCTATCCAAAATGTAGATTCCCTTCAATATGCAATGCCCAATAAGATTCACAGAGACAAGATGGTACAATACAAAGGCTTTATGAGATCTTATAGGCTGTGAAAAAATTACTGGAACATTCTTTTTTCTGCCCATATTTATTACGTACTTGCCAAGAAAGGGATTCATTCTTTATTTTGATGTGTATTTTTTAGTACCAAGCTCTTGTGAATAAATACAAATAAATACTAAAAAACTGTCTTTGAAAATATCTGAGCTGGATATTTTAGTTATATTTGGTTAGATGCTAATGGACTGATTCACCAACTGGCTTCTGGTATGTGTGTAGGACTGTAGGAGCAAAATTCCCCCTCCCCACCAAAGTTACCATTTGTACTTCACAATGCCAATTTTGCCACAATTTTGCTCTTTCCAGTGGAGCAGAGGGAGTCACACTATTGCACTGAAATATCCACCTAGTGAGACCATACTTAGCCCTCACTCGTTCTCCAAAGCGCAACAACCCTCAACATAAAAAATGATATTATTTTCCTTGTGACGCTTGTAGCTCGTAAAAGCATATGAGCCTTTTTTTGGGCAGAACTGCACTTTTTTGGCACCGTAGGCTTCAGTGGTAGTAGTTGAAAAACTTGACAAATTTAGGAAACGTGTGTTTTTGTGCAAGTTAGTACCTAACAAGCCTAATGACCATCTCACCCTCCTAGTAACTAGCTTTCCATTGGCAAAAAAAATTGGCAACCCTGACAATGCTTGAAAAATAACCAAAAATGTTCTAAATCACCAGGAAATGCTCATGCTTAAATGTGAATGGGTACTTAATGGAATTGTATGTGCTTAGATCTAGGAACCCAGATGTGGTTATCTTGCTCACAGGGAGACATACAAAGTCGGTAAATAATCCTAAATGCCATGAAAACTGATCGGTTCGGTTCACACCCCCACAATGCACGGGCGTTAAAGGAGAACTATGGGGTTCTATCTTTTTTTTATTAATGCTTTTCTTAGGCTAAATAAGTAAATAATGTAATTTACTCTAATTAGCCAAAATGCACAGTAAGGCTGTAAAACCTTATTTAAGGTGGTGGGCGGGGCTAAGCGCCGCAATGAGAAGACATCCCGACGTATCTGACGGGATCCTCCCCACTGATGACTGACAGTGATTCTTGAGAGCTGCTGCGCGTCCACGAATATATGGACATGCGCAGCAGCTCTCTCCTTACTTGCACGTCCCGTGGGCCAGCCCCTTCCCCCTGGATCCGATCAGCAGGGATCCCCAGTGACAACATTTACCATATATGGACTTTCCCATTTGTAGTAAATGCTGAAGAGAGAGAGAGAGAGAGAGCTCCTTCCCCTCAGTCATCAGCGATCCACGAACATTTTGGTATGTCAGTGTCAGCAGGGAGAGAGAGTCCATATATGGTAAATGATGTCACTGGAGATGCCTGCTGATCGGATCCGCTGATCCGATCAGCAGGGATCTCCAGTGACATCATTTAGAGGCATGCGACTTTTAGAGGCATTTAAATTTTTTATGCAGCTCTATTTCAGCCAATGTGTCTATGCACATTGGGGCATTTAGATGCGTATAGATGCCATTAAAAAAATGCCCAAACCTGTGCGCGGAGAGGTGCTTACTAGAATAATTTACATACATAAGCACATAAAAGCATGTGAAGGCACCATATGTGTGTGTAAATTCATTCTAGTGGCTAGCAGAAATGAACATTCTAGCCAACAGAATGAGTTTACGCACCTACGCCTGTAAACGTGCAAAAACATAAGTAATTACCTGCAAACATTAGCATTTTTATGCTGGATTTTTCTGCCAGCATAGATTAGAGTCATTTAATACGTCAATGTGCATGAGCCCTAAGTATGTATAATAGCTTTCAATAGATTAACAAGATCACCAGGCAGATAGAATGTCATGTAGGCCCTTCCAGGGGCAGAAAATTTGACAAGTGGCTATCATTCCAGGTGCTGTGTTGTGATGCAACACACATTGTTCCTCTGAGTGCCACTTATCATGTTTTATGTCCAGAAAGAGAGCATTTCACTGTGATTTTTTCAAGTGTTTATGGGACTCCAATGTGCTGGAAATCCACGTATGTAATTAGACATTTATGGGTGAGCAAGTATTAATGGGCAGTCGAAGCACCATTGCCGTAACGAGCCAAACTCATTTTTTGCCAGCCTCAATCATACATCATTAGGCAGATAGAGCTGATCTATTCTGGACACAGCAAGACTCGACTCCAAACTACCTTAATAAGTACATTTTTAATTGTTTGTCTTTCCTGCAGTCACGCTGGATCTGTAATCCTTTTCTTTGTAATTAGTTTATTTTTGTAGCTGATGTTACGTTTTTCCAGTTATCGGCCTCCCAGTGCATAATTACGGTTAAATCTAAAAAAAATCATCAGCTTTTTCTGTTGGCATTAACTTTTTTTTTTTAGAAAGCTCTTTACAGAGTTCTCACATATCCCTTGTGCATCTTATATAGCAGCAGTATCACCCAGCAGGTTACAATACCCTACAACATTCTGTTGAATCTGTGCAATTCGATATGTGCATTGCATCCTTGTGCTTCATGGAAATCACTGTGTTGTTTTTTTTATTTTACTAAAGGTAAAATTGGCCATCAACAGCTCAAATTTTGGCCAATTCCTGCTGATATGAGCTGTGGGTGGCCATGCCAGCACCACACAACTCATCAAAAGTCAACCTTTCAATCTACTTTTGTCAAAGGAGTCGGGTGGAAAATTGATGGCCAAATAGCGACTGCATCCAATCAGCTGCTGAATATAATAGCCGGCAAGGAGTTTCCTTCATCCACACCGTTTACAGTGGATGGGGGAATCAATTAATTTCCCTCGTTCAGGCATGTGTGTGAACCCCCAATGTGATAGCCATTAAGTAAAAAAAAGTTTTTAAATATTAAAGTTTTATATTTTTCAAAAAGCTCCCCGCCCCCTGCGTACATACACATACAAATGTAAACACATGCATCAGGTGCACCTATGAATGAAAACAATGATTGTGCCACACATGTTAGATATCGCCGTATATGCCAGAGTGAAAGCAATAATTCGAGGGCCATTACTCATGGGTAACTCTTAACTGATGACCTGTTAAGACTTTTAAAGGGGTGCCCATGGGCAACTGTGGGTACAGTTTTTTACCATCTCAAAGACGCACACAATTTGGAGGCTTGACATATTTGGTGTCTATTTGCTCGATACAACTTCATCTTTTATAATTTTCACATCCAAATGGGTATAATATTGTGTTTGTGCCCTAAAATTAATTTAAATGCATTTTTATCAGAAAATGTAGGTTTAATAAACATTTGCGCAAAGACTGCATGACTTACAAAAATGCTACTCCAGCCACTTTATTCTACAGGATCTCTGCTTTAAAAAATATATTATTTGGGGGATTTAAAGTGACATTAAACCCTCAGATTTTTTAACATAAAACAATACTGTAAGTTGTGCCTCAATGTAATCCATCGTTGTTTCCCTTCTCTTGCTGCTCTTCCTTTTAAATCTGTATCTGTTCTCATGCTGGGCAGAACGTCTGGTTTGCATTAGACTGCCTTGTCTCTGGAATAGCTACATGGTGTCTGTGTATAGGTTTGCAACCTGAGCCAGCACTACAGGAAGATGCAGTCAGCTGCAAAGGGAAGTTCTCCCCCAGCATGAGAAGACATGAGGATTTAAAAGGAAGAGCAGCAAAGAGAAGGGAAAGGGTTTAATGTCACTTTAAGTAATCTTAGGCCTAAAATGGGCATTTCAACAACATGTGTGAACAAACTGGCAGCAAAAGGTTACAATGCATACTATATGCTCTTGAGTGCAATATATAACCACACTTGCAGAAAAGAGAGATGATGGAACTTTTTGGTGTCACTCTAAGACTTAATTCACACTTGCCACCTGCGTTTTTATGCAGAGATCTGTCTGCAAAATATGTCAGGCTAGATGCTTTGTTTATGTTTCTAGATGCTTAAAATTACGCATGTTTACATATGCCTTTAGATGCATCTGTCCTTTCTCCATTGAAACCGTCCATTGAAGTAGCCAATAAGATTTCAGCAAATAAACTCGCCTTGCGTTTAAACGCGCATTGCTGCGTTTAAAAGTTAAAATTGATTCCTAGACACACCTGACTTCTATTTTTCCTAAATGCAGCTGAACTGACAGCAGATAAAAGCATCTAAATGCAAGGTGTGAATAGATCCATTGGAAATTATTAGATGCACATATATGCAGTTAGAAAATCATTTAAGATGCATATAAACGCACCTAATCGCACCCTAGTGTGAATGGAGCCTAAGTGAAGCAGGCTAAACTCTAGAATTAAACCAGGTTCTATAACAATATAGTCATGCTTTAACAGCAGACCTAAAAACATCACCTCTTTGAGTAAGGAACTATATTCGGCACTCCTCCAGAGCAGAGATTCAGGCAGAGACTGTATGATCTATTCTTTTTTTAGGATTATATCCCTGCTAATGAGTACAAACTTGTCGGATGCCATAGACAGGCAGATTTATCATATATACTGTATAAGGAAAGACAGGAGTTCAGCACATCCTCATCACAGTTGCTGAACTGCTGAACCCTCTGATAGTTTTCTACTGGTTTTACTTTGGTGCACATGCTGTCAAAGAATATTTCCTTTTGTGAAAAGGAAAAATTATGTGAAAAAGAGAATGATCTCTACAAAA